AGGTTTCGCAGAAAGAAAAATTGGTACTAGTACTTATTCGCTTGCCGCAGTGACCTGTTATGACATTAATAATGTCTTTAAGGGGTCACACCTTGGTGAGCTTCAGCTGCCGGAGAGATGTCTACTTGTGAGGCCGCCATGTGGCCGTGGGCCTCGGTTGTTGTGCAAAGAGAAACAAGCGCGATTAGGTACGACGCAATCGCTTGAAAGTTAAGCATTTTGTCTGTAAAAATAGGCTGCAGCAGGTTCGCAGCAGACGTAAGAAGTTTTGCAGTGTGAAAGAAGGATTTCCAGCTGCGAAGACAAAGTCACGGAGCATCCATTGCTCCAAGCAGGTACAAAAAGTGACCAACGACTGCACTGTACCCCCAAGTCCAGCATAATGAATCAGCAGAACGCAGTACACACTTATTTAAAGAATATTTCAAATGTATTTCGTAGATGAATGCCACCATGCCTGCGGTGGTGAGTCACCCCCGATGTGGTAGCTGGGAGAGACCGGAGGTCTAGAAGCTAACTTGGAGGCAGTTGTGTGTAATAGCATACCTTATCGGAACAGGATCTCAAATACTTATAGATGCAGCGCTTTAATGAGGTAAAGAGCCAATAATTAATTGAAGACCCAGATCTTAGTAAGGTAGCAGGCGTGGGCTGCCGGTTTCTCTACTGGTTCCACAATAACCCTAAGCGCAGCAAGCAAAACACGCCAGGACGCCAACCTACGACTTGCGATTGGGTGGAGGCCAACTTACCTTATATATTAGCATTATAGCCTTTGATTGATGCATTAAAACATCTATTCATCGACTTGTTAGCACCGATTGCAGAAAACACGTTAAACGGTCAGTACTAGCGTCACGGCATTGCAAGAACACAGGGAGCACGGCAGATGGTCCCAAATTCCACATGTGAATTTGCTGGGGTCTTTACCTTCATCCTTAGGCTTCTATACGTACTTTTAAAAGCACTTAGCGGTATCCTGGACAAAGGAGCAAAAGACGATACCTTCACACTACTCCGATTTCAATGGACTTCTGGCACCGTCGAGGTACTTGGGATGTAGCACGCAGAGGCATCTCTTTACGAGCTGTTACTTTCCTCTTAATGTGGATTCCTCCAGCACTGCAATTGCCAATATCCTTTATCCTTGTAAGAACAAGCTGTAGACGTCCCCTAGTATTACTTTGCACGTTCAGAGCATAGTGTTGCAATATCGGCTTTTGTACTGCACAAGCGGCGAAAGGCAGCGAACAGATATTGCCTAGCAATACACATTAAAGCATCTGATTCCCCACGTTCGTTCTGATTTTTGCTAGTTTTCCTTTTTACTAGCAAAGGGGGCTGCGCGCCTTTTGTATTCCCGAGGCTGACTTCGCTGTTAACTAGCGCTACCCGAAAACTACTCAACTAATCAGCATCTACTATAACTGGTTTGTCCCTAATTTAAACATGCCTCTGTCTGTTCATTCATACATTCCTCCAGGCTCACACAACAGAAGGTAAATTAAGCCCCTGCTGTTAGTACAGTATTCGTGCTTTTACCACTTATTAGCAGTAGCCGAATTCTACCCAATAGAAGAATACAGGCAGTCCATGGAAATCCGTGGGAGCTACCAAAGCATTGTACTATTCAGCGGTTTCTCCACTATGTAATTCTCCCTAACCCACGCCAGGATCATTGCCCCCTTGAATCTTTACTAGACTACGTTGAGCCCAGACTATCAGTGAATTAGAGTGAAATAAAAAGATACGCGCCAACATGGGATGATATAATTCTTTGATGCGCAGTAGTCTCCAAAGCTTTAGGGATGAGGCGGCAAGCTGTCTACCTCGCAGCCACCCTGCTGCGCCACTGAGAATTTCGCCAAACGCGTGATACGCAGAGCTTGGAAGTACCCTTAGGGCGAGAGCGGTATGTATTGTTTGATGATGCATAACTAAACGAAATGTCGACACCGTCGCTTGACATGTCTTGGCAGCGCACTTGTTTAGTGCATCGGTTGCGGGAATGTTGAGTGCAATTGCAGCAGCAGTAGAAGCGATGAGCGGCATCTGCAGCTACATTGGAAGCCGCTGGCGCTGCACCGACTATACAAACACCACCAGCTACCTATTAAAAGGCAGCATAGCAAACAGTCCAAAAACGCCTATCCATGGCGCGTTCGCTAGAAGCTCCGATCGATTTTCCGGTTGAAATGATGGCGGCCTCAGGAGTGCCCTCACAAAGGCAGTAAGCCCTATCGTGATTTCGACAGCATCTGTCTCCCTGTGGCGTTATACATCACCTGAGAGGCAATATCCATCTGCTCTTACTGGGCATATCAAGTAGATCAATCTCTATGCCCATGTACATCACCCGCTTCAATTTGTAAAAACGGCCTTCAGATCGTTGCTGCAGCAGCAATTACTGCTAACTACTAAGCCAAGTGGTTTCCACACAACCAAAGAATCGGTGGTTGCACAATAGTACTCCACATGACTCTGGCTGCACGCCATGGAATGTAGCAAAGGCATAGTGGGCCACGCACACTTGCTGTGCCGCCGCTGGAGCTTCCATTGGTGCCTGGATTCGCTTGGAGCCAAAGTAGTGGATAATGGGAAGCGCGAGTTCAGAACTCCTGGCAAAAACGCACCTACAAGCGCTACCACAACAATGCAGGCCCCCGCAGCCGAATACAGTGCCCGATACGAGCCTGCAGGGCCTGTCTTCCCACTCACGTCAGGAGGGCTGGTAATGCAACATCGTCACATGTCCCCCTGCCTGCCTAAAATGACAATATGCAGCAGGGGTCAGTAAGGTTTTGATGATTAACAGGGCTGTGAATAGAACCGAGCAGACCACAGGGAAAGCAAATGGTCGCACTAGGTACTGGGAATTCGGCCTTGTGCTGCTGCTGCAATCCACTGATATACATGAGTCTTCGAAGGTTAAGATAATGAGCTTCCTTTGAGAATAGCTTTGTGCTTTAAGCTTCAATTATATGCCTTAGCGATGCATTTGTCCGGATGGGCTCTGGCAGTCAAATTGTGTGGCGGGGCTGCTTTACTAGTCTTTATGCCCGTCGCACCACTATGTTACCCCCCAACCGCCTTTGAGAGAGTCATAAATATCTCTTCATCTCAAGTCTGTTGCGAGTTCCCACACAGCAGTGGCATGCTATAGACTAGCACAACTTAGTTGGTGTATGCCCCCTTTGTGTGACGTAATTCAGTATGCCAGATGCCAACGCTATCATTCCCTGTCACAACGTATTGGAATGCATAAGAAGAAACAATATGCTTATTTCATGCCAGCGTGTTGATGTGCCTCCCAAGATCTGATTGCCTTCTCACCACTTCTTTTGCCGCATTTGAGATCTAGTGCTTAACCCACCCAACCCGTGACGTCAGCTGCTTTTACATTCAGTGCTTGATTTACGACATAAGAGGTTCGGAAAAGGCCGCTTCAAAACGCGAAGGGCAGATCGTGCCACCTCCAGAAGCGCAGTGGTGTGTGATACCCCCTCAAGGACCCCACAGACATGACGCCTTAACACTGACAGGGCAGGTTTCACTAGCAATAACGAGTCTGAAGAACAGCTAGTGTAGCGGCAGCGCTGCGCTAGATTGAGATCAGCAGCAGCGTTTCTGTAGTGCCTGCGTCAGACCAAGGCGATCCGGTCTTCATACATCAAAAAGAAGCCAGTGCAAGAGTCCTACAATAGTTTCGAGTTGTTGGGTCGTAGTTCTGCCTTCAAGTGCAAGGCAAACACACCTCAGCAATTCTGATATGTGCTAGCTCAGCCTATCATTGCCTTAGACTCATCCACGGCTACCGAAGCTCAAGGTAGTCAGCCATCGCTGCGCCGACTCTGGGCCACTTTGCTGCAATTGTCTCGAGAAGCGCTCAGGTAGTGCGGGCTGCTTGTGGCAGCCATCAAGCGTTCCTCCCCATAGAGCAATGTTCAACGAAACCGGGGAAGCTCCCAGTGGCGGCGTCATTCGGGTACCCGCCCGCATGCGACCCTAGCACATTGGCATACAAGCCGCACAATGGTATCAAGACAAAGGGCAAAGTGAACAAGGCAGAAACAGCTAGCCGCTAGTTTGCCATTCCCCCCCGAAGCGCCAACAGCAGCAGTAGCAGTGGCGGCAAGCTCAACCATATTGGTACACACATCGTCGTGCATGCGCAACAACCTTCAAATACTACGTGAATCGACCGCCCAAAGGTGCAGATATGTCGTGCAGGGCGAGATGGCACCCACTGTTCAGACTCCGCGGCAGTCACCAGTCCCCTACGCGTTAATTGTACATGCCGGTAACGGGCCAACATGCCCCATCCAGCAGGCCACTGTCCTCATTCGAATACAACAAGAGACATCCTGGGGTGCCGGGCAGTTCACAGTTGCTCGTTGGGGGTGCCTACTATAGCGAACGGTGGAAACGAATCAGGCAAAAGAACACCGCCTTAGCTACTGTAAGGCCATATTTTTAAAGAAGACAGCAAATTCCAGATAGCGTTGTAGAATGGCAGAGAAGAGTACGTGCTTCACTGGGAAGCCCGACTTCCGATCGGGCTTCACTTAGGAAAACCAAAAGGACAGGAAGCCGGATGCAGGGCAGCTGAGGAGAAGAATAGTCTCCAACCGATACAGCCACAAAATAACAAGCAATACCATGGTCTCATGCACCTTGACGCTCCACTGAATCAGCAACAGGGAATGTGTAGTCCGACAAGTAAGGTCCAGAAGGGAGGTAATAAATTCGAAGGCTGTCCCCGCGATCTTCCCCCAGCTTTAAGTCCCCTTGAACGTGTAACGGCGCGCCCGATACTTCTACATGCATTGCGAGAGAATCCGACCCGCAGATGATACAAGCATGCCGCTGAAGGCACACTGCTGATGTTGGCCAAGGCTTCTCCCACAGTACTCGAAAAAATGCTGTCCAGTCTAGCATTGACTGCTGAGTACTGTTCCTTTTGCAACCTACACGCTGCCACGCTTTATTGGCGCAACATATCACATTGAATCAAGCTTTGACGTGCTGGAATTGTGTCTTAGCTGTTTCTGGCGACAAATGGACCGGAGACTTCGCTCAATTACGCACAGCTTCTGCTGAAGCTCCAGCTGCACCTGTAGCAACTGGCGGCCTGTAGCCGATCCTGCCACGCGGCTGCAGGCCTGAGCGAACTCCTTCACTGTAGGCACCACAGACACCGAATGATAAGGAAAAGCAGCACTGGCGCCAACCCGAGAGCTGCGTGTCAGCGAAGGCAACGCCCGGAGAGCCTGAAACGCAACTCTCTGGGCCTTTAGATACACCCCTTTTGGACACCTGAAGAGTGCGAATTTGGAGTCATAGTGCATTGCTTTATCAAGGCCTTTAGGAAGGATTTAACCCTCACCTGTCACGAACTGAATGCCACGTTGGTGGTACATGCTCAGGACATCGAATGCCTGATAAAAAGGTATACGTGCCGCCTGAGGCCGCAAGGCAAGCAGAAAAACAGCTTCCAAAAAGTTAGGCTAGACACTGGATCAGAGGGAGGAAATGATGGCAAAAAAATTTGAGGTGAGCTATGACATTATCAAGCTAGGGCAGCGGCCGTCGCGCGGGTCATGTATTGTTATTTCTGACACGTTCGCTTCCGTTATCCGGATACATAAGCGATTAAGAAGGGAGATTCAACTGCCCGACAGACCTGCAGTGCGCCTTGAACGATTGGGTGCCGGAGAATGTCCATGGGCTGGTGGCCTCCTACCCTCAAGTATTTCACGCAAGTGCGGACGGTAATACCCTCAACCGGCACAGTCTCGGGGATGTGGGCCCTGACCTGGAGAGGTTCTGATTCAACTGCGCTTTCTGTGGACGGCCTTGCCGTGCTATCCTCGCTGGTAAGCCCAGTGAGCTTCCGTTCTAAAAGTGCACCCGCCGTGGCTACAGCTAACGGGGTCCTGGGGCTTTGCGAAGCAGAAGCAGCTGCAGCATTTATTACGCTACTGCCACCCGTGTAGCGCCCGCCGGTTGTCGTTTCGCCTTCTCGAGGAATCCCCGGAACAGTGCTGTCCTGAGTTGCGTCCCCCGCAGCCCAAACGCTGGGTGTGGGGTCTGATGACGCGAGTGCGTAAGTAGTACCCTGTGTTAACACCGTAGAGACAGCAGGGCGGAGGCAAACAAGGAAGGAAGTCTTTTCAAACGCTGACATTAACAGCTTTTCGTTGTACAGGTCCTTTTCAAGATCGTCCTTGTAGTTCGCCTCTTTCAACAGCCTGTTAGACATGTCCACGTAAGCATCCAGGATAATGCCTGAGGAACCAAAAATACCATGCCAGCTCAAACCTTAAAATGCAATAAGAGCTCATTCCTTAGCGCTATGTCGCTATCTCACGCCTACCATGCCGCACAGAAAATTCCAGCAATGCTTCATCACTCTGTCCAAATGAACCCCAAACCGTAAGGCTTGTAATCCATATGTAATTACCTACAGAGGAATAAGGCTAATCTGGAATTCTTGCACCCTAGCGTCATGCCTAACAGATGGATTGACTGCCAGTAAGCAGAGGCTGAATAACGCATTAGGGCGTACATGCTTAACACCAGTGAGTCGCCTACCTGTGACAATATTTAAAAGAGTCAGCGTTGTAAAGCAAATGTACCCCACGAAGAAAATTCTGCTGAATGGGTGCTTCTCTGCAGTCGCTGTGGCCACATTGTTCCAGCCTAAAGCCACAACCCTCGCAAAGTTGATACAAATATGCGGAGAAACAGGAAGCAGCGGCAAAAAAAGACGACTGTCCCTTTTTTCTTCATGCTACACATGTAACACAAAAGAACAATAGACCTTATAAGCAATGATTACCTTCAAGTGTGAGAACTGTGAAGAGCGTAAACATTGACAGCACCAAGTTGCCCCACAACAACCGCATCTCTGGGTCATCTTCATCCTGAACATCATGCACAGAAATCGAAAGGCCAGGAAAGATAAAGAGGCACCGAAATGCCGTCTCTAGACGGCATTTAATCTTTATATGCACCTGCCAATTTTTTGCCTAATTGGCGAAGTCATTTGCAGCGTCTCCGGCTTTCGTTCGCATTGATAGATTTATGAACACCAAATAACCACATTGCTGTATCTACCATGCTGCTCCTGTCTCGGCGATGCCCTTCCTGCATCTACTACAAATCGCGTCTGCGCCATTCTGCATCTACTCTTGAAAAGGCAAAATTTATGTGTGGAGACGTACATAGTAAGCCCAGGTGCAGAAGATGGCGCAAGTATATATAACCACCAGTACGAACAGAGCTGTCCACAGCAAGGAACGAAGACTGTGGAGAATACCTGCAAGGAAAAGCCAGAGCAATACCACGCGCACGTGCATTACAAATGTGTGCACCAGATGTGCCCCAATATCAACCAAAACCACATGCATACATAAAATTGCAACCAGTATGTACTTCTTTAAATAGTTACTGAATGCACAAGCCCTGAAATATGGCTGCACACACAATCCATTCAAAAGCGAAAATCTACATTACTACAGGATGCCCAAGGTGGAGGCCAGTGGCCAAAAGGCACACTATTGGGGAGTGAGCGACTCACTTCTCGTGAGGAAGAACAACTCCCTACAGGAAAATGCCAAACGGTAAACGCGCGTCAGCTGTATCGTATCCAGTGCCTGCATACACAACTCCCACCGAATTCCAAACCCTGGCCTTGGTGGCAGCCCCCGATGAACCATGAAGTTGGGGGCCCTTCGCTGAAGGGCGCGAGACCAAAGGGCTGCATCTGCCGAAGCACCAAGGCTAATGGAGCTCTTATCTTTGTAAAGAGTTGTGAGGCCAAGATCCACAAGGCTCTCCCATAGACAGACACCGCAGCACTAACTGCATTCCTGCCTGTTCAGGTACGCTTTGCTACTAACTCTGCACATTTAAATGCGCTTTATACAAAGCAGAAGCACACGCCTCACCACGAGCGCAATTTGTGCGTCTCCAATCGTGAAGTCGTTAACAATGCCGTCTGTCCTCTCCAGGGGATTTGGTTCAAAGACGCGGGTCCCCAAACCCCCAACATTCAGCAGAATGGAGACTCGAAGCGCCAGGGCAGCAAGACCCACAAGCTGCAGCGCAGTGTCAAAAAGGCACTGTTGATCCCGCAGGAACCGCCGCAAGCCGAGGGCGCGACACCGCAAGGCCGCTTCGCAAGAAAAGAAGCTCCATATCAACACATCAGCGCCAAACAAACAAACAAACGCCGTCTGCAAAATCGCAAACAAACAGATATGCTGATGCATATATGGAAGGGCAGGTATGTGTACAGTTCGGCAGATACGACGCAAGGACAACTGCAATCTCAATGGGCTCAAAAAGGCTGTGGTACCTGGTTTGCATTCAAGAATTACGGCATGTGGCTCCCCAAAAGGGAAGACGTAGCCAAAGTGAGTGAGCGAACCAATGTGCATGCATGTGAGAGAAAAATAGCAACGCACGTGGTTGGCGGGGGGGAAGTAGGTGCTAATTCCATACTTAATCGCACTGAAAACCACCATCAGTGTTAACAACATTCGGAAGGACGATAGGGCTATGCGGGACTCCTGAGAGACACAAACATGCGTCACACTCTTAGTTTTGTAAACTCTGGAGAGTCGGCATAGCCGTGCACCGCAGATGCTCGTGCATGTCACACAACAGCGCAGCTGCAAGCGGCTTGGGTTTGGGATGCCCGAACAAAACTACTACGCCAATCCGGGCGTCTCAGCGTGACGCTGCTATGACAGATGTACCGAATCCCCCTGGCTCCACGAATGCTTTCTGCAAGTCCCAGCTATCCCTCTGTTTTACGATGCTACCCCCCACACGGCGGCTCGCATTGGCCTCACAGGAGAGTTCACTCTGAATAGCCTTCTAAATTCTCTTTCCACTCCGTCGTCCTTTTCCGACTCAATGACCCAAAATGAGGTAGGCTGACCCCACTGCACTCCACCAGCAACGACTTGGCTCTCTCGATGGTGCTGATGATGCCGCAACAGCTGGTAAGGGCCTGCCGGCCGCGTTGCACCGCCAGGCAACAAACACCCGCAGTCCTCGCAGCTCGGCACCCTTCGGGGGCACCCAGGTACTGTGGGGAGTCCCAGAGGGCCCCCGTGGCCGGCAGACCCCTCGGCGTCTCGGCTGTCGATTGAGGCCGCCTTGCGCAGCTGACCCCATAAAGGGATGGTGCTCTGTACGACGGCGAAACCGCTGGGAGCGTTGGCTTTCTGAATTCCGCATGATGAACACTGGCCTTCCTCTTTTGCCTCATCCTTTTCAGGCTGCACGTCGCAGCCTTGAACTTCTGTGGACTGCTGGTCTTGTTGCTCTTGCTGCTTCTGCTGAGGCCCCCGGCGAAGGCCGGGGCTCTGCAACATCTCCAGCGCCTTCGGGGAAAGACTGTGGACTCCCACACTGCGAAAAAGGGGACTGCGCGGAGCCTCATTGCAAACTTTATCAATGGACGACCAACGAGTGTTTATCTCACAACTGCTCTCCCCGCTGCGGCTCCCACCTCTCCTGCTGCGTCCTCTTCTACTGCTGGAGCGGCAGGCTTTGCTGCCACGATGCTCAGAACCCTCTGCTCTTCTAAGATCTACACTGTGGCCTCGAGGGGATGTTTCTTCCCCTATAACCGGACACTTGTTTACGAGGGACGGGAGGACTGTAGGGGGCCCCTCATGGATACCGCAGCTGCAGTCCCCAGTAGGCTCCTGAGATATTGACCGATACCTCTCCACAGGTGGCTGCTTTAGCTCATGTATTTCCACAGATTCTGCTTCGGAAGATCCCACAGAAGATCTCCGCCGGCAGTCCCTCCTGCTCGTCTGTGGTGCACACCTCTGGTGCAATAGGCTCTGAGACAGGTTGTGGCGGGACGCGGATCCCCTGATATTACCTGGGGTGGGTGCCAAAGGGCCCTGCTGTCTGGGCGTTGTCGACTGAGGCATCTTGCCTAGCAGCAGCGGCAGCCTATGGGGGATCGTGTTGCTGAGCTAGAGCCCGCTGGGGCTGCTGGGGGCCCCTGCAGCTGTGGCTCAGAGAGCACTCCATGCGATATCAAGACGAGAGCCCAAATGGACGTGAAGCTGGGACCCCAAGGGCAGAGGGATTGGCTGGATGGCTGGAGGCTGTGGCGGTTCTACAATTCGTGCTGATACGCACGGGGCATCCCTCCGCACAGTGGACGATGCAGAGACCGGTAAGGCCCCGCGGTCATATATTTCGTGAGGACCGCAAAAGAAACACACTGCGGAAAGAAGTGGTAGAAGTGGGCCGCCAATAAGAGGAGACTCTGGTACGTGACGGTAGGCAAAGGCAGCGTCTAGCGTGCTCCCCTCAAACGGCTTCCGGTGAAAACAGACCGAAAAACCAACGGTGAAGTAGTTATTATAGTGCACTTATAAAATAGCATATAGGGGGTTGTGAGTTGTCCTCTGGAATATGGAGTTTGCAGTATGCAGAAAGACCTAGGGGCCCAGGGAGCAGACTGCACCGCATCGTGGGAACGGCGACTCCGTCTTGCGGCGGGAAGTAACAACTTGGTTTATTTCCATAGCACATATTTTCTTCTTACCAGAGGAAATTTCAGCACACTGTTTTCATTTTAGCCGCCAAAAGAAGCTTTGAGGGTTCCCTTGGCATGGGTTTGGAAGTTACGAATTCTGCAGCCTACCCAACTTGCCCATCGTTTTCTCGTTCGAGCCATCAAAGAGGGCCTCTTAGGGCTTCCCTCGTTGTTACTATTTCGAATACGAAATAGTAAATGACATTTAAGGGCCTTTTCTCTTGCTTGCTTCGCTGCGCTACTTTTGGCTACCTGCAATGCAGTATACAGCAGGCCCTGCAGTTGCTAAGGCATGTTGTCTCAAGGAAACACTGCCACGGCGACCGCAAAAACATGCTCCAATTTTGGAGCCCAGAAACGAGATAGCAGCCATGCACAGATACGTGTCTTTCCAACCACTTGATTAGCACTACTTTTCAAGGAAGTGCTGCTCCAGGTGTTCACTGCCCCTTGGCAAGTATACAGGTAGGATGTCTACCATCGCCCCATTCCGGAGGAGAACACTTCCGTGCTTCCGACTAATAGGACTTCAGAGCTCAAAAATTTTTATGAATAAGCCCCTCTGCGTTGTCAAAGATCCTCGCAGGGGGAAACATCACTCCAAACTCGGCAAAAACTCCACGGAAAGTTATCGAGTGTCTATCAAACGAGCTCTCTCCTGCCCCTCTCCACACCAATCAGAGTTTCCGACATAATTGGAGAGGGCCCACTAGGCTGTGCTTAGTAGCACGCACCCTTTAAGCCCTTCGAGCGTTGACATTTAGTTGCACATAACATTTTAGCGCGCACATACGCGACATTGTGCCATTTTTAATAAGGCTAGCAGTGTTCTGCAATGATAAGCACGAACATTCTAGCCAGTTAGTTTCTTTGCTAATGCGTTTATATGAGCAGTGTAGTAGAAAGTAGTTCGGGGTCACTGAGCCCGCTAAGCCCTCGGTTGGCTACATTGCCCTAGTCTCTCCGAATTATCAGCTCCTTTCGCTTACCCTTTTTGCCTCCTGAGAGGCTGAGTGAGCCAAAGCCAAAAACGGGTAGAGGGAGCAAGGAATGGTCTACGAACTCTGTCTGAATAACTGCCTGTTTCAGGGGTCCCACTGTATAACTTTGTACACGCAACAAAGATCTACGGCGTAGTGGGAACAATCTGGCATGTTTCCCGGAGAAGGTATTAACTTCGGAGCAGGCAAAATAATGAATGTGACTACTTAGGATTCGTATACAGCCCTGTTGCAAGCAAATGCTTATTTGGTTGCCTATGGAACTCGGCAAAGCACCTAGGGAAGAGGAAGCAGTGTCCTTTGGCCCAGATTACCTGTGGCTCTCTATCCAGGATACCATGGGTCGGGGAGTACCGTATCTGTGGACGCTTCCCAGTCCCTTTCCACAAGGCCTTTGCACGACCTATACTTGTGTTATCAATGTTCGCATGTAGAGAACCAGGAGCACAAAGAGCATAAGAAACTTAATGCATTGAGGATAGAATGCACCTTGCTAGACGAAGAGGATTTCATACTGGAAGAAAGAAGCAATGCTAAACTGCTGCACTCAGTTTTTACATATATTTATAGGGCTACTGAAATTATGAGTGTGGTTAGGCAAAATTGCACTGAAAGCCAATCACTGCTCATGCCTACCTCCTCACGCTGTGGCATCAAGCGACGTGTGGGTACATAAGGCGAGAATACTGAACTGCCAAATACACTACCGATGCGGACCATCTAGGGTTCCTGCACCTTTGCACAAACGGATTCAGGGCCAGTCTCATAGTGCAAAACTGAAAAGGACAGAATTTTCAAGTTTGCCTTGCAATTGGTACCTTTTTTTTCAGCTGATGTCTTCAAACGGAAGCCTCTCAAGGTCCCCAAATGTAGAATTCCCCAGCAGGTCAACTCCTACGGACTGGTGAATTCGCTCTTCATCTTTGTCCACAAATGAAAGCGGAATCAAGAGCAAATGTGAGCTAATTTTCATTTCAGTTTACCCTCACCGTATATATCCCGTCCTGCAGTCCTTGTTGGATATCTTGTACGTGCACCACACATATTCCTCTGCCCGAGTTTCCTCAATAGCGAATTGCAAGCTTCATTCATTCTGCCGATGACTGCAGCCCAGAGTGGCTGTGACAAATGGTTGTTGATGTGAATGAAGTAACTCGCCTGCTGCTTTGCTACGACCTTCATCCAAACGATACATATAAATGCTTTTTGTTATAACTGGAAGCCCCACGCTAGTTGGGATAATCAGCACCTTTATGGCCCTAAGGAGCACTCTAGTTAGTGCTGCGTAGTCATATTGCGCCAGAAGTCTTTTTGTAAGGTGACAGAGCAGCACAGTCCAAAGGGCACAAGTTCTAAAAAGGAATCCACGCCAGGGGGTCTCACGCACCACTACAGGATCTATCCAACGATGCAGCAACTGCGATAGCATGCCATTGTCTACCACAACTCCTTTCCAAGTACTCGAACTGTTGTTGCTAAAGTCAGAAAAAGAGGAATGAGACACAAAATCGACAACATGGGTTCTGGGGAAAGTTCTGTTGGGTCCAGCAGCATCGGGTCAGTATCAAGTGAAAATTGTGCAGTCATATTCTCTCTACTCGAGTTAAGTAGAGGTACACAGACTGTTCCTGATAGGCGTAACATAGCTACTCGTGTTCGCTAATGTCAAGGTCTGTTGGGGCTTCTGTTTACCTTTCCAGGTTGTTGTTGCCAAATCTTTGCCTGATCTTGAATGTGTACAGCTTATGAGACACATTATAACTGCTAACAAGGCGTCTGCTTTTAACGCAATGTGCCTCACTTGAAATCTGAGGCGTCTAGCAGGTTTCGACCTGTTTGCAAATATTTTCATCTATGCTACATTACCTCCGTCGCATTCTGCCTTCTCCTGTTGTCATCTGTATGCACATCATTTTCGCTGGCTATGAATACCTCTCCCTGTCTCTGCTATGATGGATTCTTAGGAAAATCATCGTAAGAGGACAGGTAGATGCCCTGCCCTGTATCTGTCGGCTGCTCTGGAAAGGTTGAGCAACATTTTGGCACTTTTGACTTCACTAGCCCAGCTTAATCAAAGACTAAATGTATGTTCGTAGTTTATTGCAGGGTAGTTTTAGCTCGATACAAAACGTAACCTTGTGTGCGTATGGAATCGTTGCTCTGTGTAACTGGCTCTGATTGCTCAGGCTACCGCTTAAACGAAGATCTTCATAGGCAGATGAAGAGATAAACGCTCAATACAAGCTCAATAGAAAGTTATTGAGTGTCTATCAAACGATTTGCCGCTTTCCCCTGCTGACGCTACCCCGAGTTCCCGATATGAGGGCAGTGGGACCACTACGACACGTTTGACGGCGCCGTCTAAGCAGACCCAGCGTCCACAGCCAGCTGCACGGCATCTAGCACACACAGATATACACGCACTGATTAACTATCCAGTATGGAATAAAGTTTATCTCATTGGAATCCTTATGTTGAGCGACACAAGCTCAGCAATTTTCATGGGCTCCCTATGAAGAGAAGGAGCTACTCCACTACGGACAAACAGTAGCAGGATTCTAGAATTTCATTCAAACTTAGGGGCACCCAGATGCTCGCACACGTGGCTCTGCTGTACTCTAGCAAAGTAGTGCATCTCCAAGTGGACAGAAAGGTCCGATATCTAAGGCTCCGCCCATGCTCCACTGCATGGACGAAGAGAGGATTCTGATCAATGTGCATGGGTCTCTATGGGTCATATGATGCAAAGAAACAACAAACAGGAAAACACCTCCGGTCTCGAAGCTCCGCTGGACCATTGAGAACGCACGGCAGCAACGGCGACAGCAAATGCAACATCAACAACAACGCAGTGTATGCCCGTATGCTTATCTCATATCAAGGTTTTTTTTTCCGTAAATGCCTCAGATAGCCGTGCGCCTTCTGAATGTTTGCGGAGGGGCCCCCTAGCGCTGAATGGGACAGTTCCTGACCGGGGCCCTGGTGGTACTAAGGGCCCCCAAAACAAAAGTAAAGGGTGTATGTCCCCAGCTCCCTCTCCCACCCAAATAAGCCAGTATCACCCCTTCCACTTGTAATTGAAAGCGAACTAACTCCTACAGTGCCAACTGTGTAACAAAACACACACATATACACACACAACGCCGCAACGGGGGGCCCCCAAATTTATCGGTGCTCCCTAGAGGCCCCAGAAGACGCTGCAACAACAATAGGAGCGCAAGTAGGACCAGAAGCAACCATACTGCATTTGAATGAACGTTACTGCCCACATACTGGCTGCAACCGCCAGCAGTTCGGACAGCGGCCTAACCAATGGTGGGGCGAAGCGCCGAGTGCAGCAGCAGAGATGCGCAGCAGCAATTTCTGTCACAGCTGCATTGCG